TTCGTAATTATTTTGACTCATTTTTGAGCAGCTGTAACTTTTTTCCAGTTCACTGAATTTAATTTTTTTTTTACCAAATGAAGCCTAATATCTTATCTTTCCAAGACTGTATGGCAGTATACAATGTGATTTTTAGCACTGGAGATATTGGCCTGCAACGACGTCTATTGACAAAATACGAAAAGATTTTTTCGACTACCCAATACATACATATATAGACTTCTGAGTGTTACAAACTTGATATCAAACTCTGTTCAGGGTACAAAAAGTTTCAGATTTGGATTGTTACTCCATACTCCAATTAATTTGGGTTGTTAAGAAACACTAAACCTTTTTCTATCCAAAATGTGTAGATCAAACATATGTTAAAATATGAAAGTATAGATGTATTTATGTAACATCGACAGATGGACGTAAGACCACAACAGGTGGAAGTAACTTTCAACGTTTATGTGATGTAACATGAACGAACAGAAAAATCAGCAGACAGTGATTCGAATGCCGGCCATTAACCAATCCAGTCGCTTGTGTAATTTATATGTTGTACAACATATTCCATTTGTATTATATCATCAAAAATAACAATAAAACTTCATATTTTGTTCATATCTCAAATGTATATTTGGATATTCAAGATCTACACTGATGTAGTCTAATTGTGAAAATTTTCAAAATACACGGGCATTCAGTCTAATGTACGACGATATGATTCTTTTTAAATACCCAGTACGAGCAGTAAAGCTCCATACACGCTTCCTCTTATTTTCCTCAAATATAAATACTCATTAATTGGATTCTTGCACTGTGGGAATTCCCTGCCATATTTACAACCGTAGAAAAGCATGAGAGTCTTTCAAATAATTTGATTACAACGAGGCGATAAAGACTGTGCACATCAATTACCATATCACCACTCAGCGCTCGCCACACCCATATGCTCCGTTTCTGCACACGACAGACATATGTACGAAAAGTGCCACAAAACAATCAAAATATTAACAGAGCCTAATAAAGCATTAATACACCCGACAAGTCATAGGGGGCCGCAATAAGGCTTGGTGCACACACACTCACATATATGCCTAAGAAAGTGCGCCTGTGTGTGTGCACTGTTGTTTTTGTATGTAACTGCCGCACAAAACACACAAATCGCGTCTAAATTGTTGTCGATGTTGTTATTGATTCTGTAAGCGCTGTTATTGAAAATCAAAAATCCAATTCCATCAGCGCAGCACAATGTACGCCGGCAGATATTTACACAGAAATATATATGGACACGGTGTAGAACACTTCCTGCTGAATAAATAGCGGCCCCAACATCGAAGCCGCCCAAAAATAGAAAAAAGAATGCGGCAAGCAAAACAAATCAGAGCCACTGGAAGTGAAAAAGGAAACAAGGCAACGATATAAAAATGTGAATCGACGAAAAATCAATCAACGAAATAAATCAAAATAATATCTGACGGCTGAATAGAGGGGCGTGTGTGCGTCTATGTAGCCAGCGGTTGGGGGCTACATATGCCAAGTGTGTACGTGTACGTGTGTGTGTGAGGTAACCGAAGTGGGGGCTACATGAAATGTTCTTTGCAGGGCGTTGGGGTAGGCGGGAAGCGGCTGCTGGGTGCGCACGTTTAGAATAAAGCCGAAAAATGCGAACTGGCACATTTTTGGGCTGGCGGCTGCTGGTCGGTCGCCACACTGGCGTCGCTGGTGGTTTTTTGCGCGCACAGCATTTTTGTTGCTGGATGCTGGCGACGAAATTCAATTCATGCGGCCGCCGATTGACTGGCTGCTTGCCTGCTCGCCGGTCGGCCGACCTGCCTGACTAGCGCGCCTTTCAGGACGAAATTTGATTAAGCCATGAAAAGGCCAGCCAGCCGCAGCTCTAATAACACAAACAACAACTAAAATAACAGCAAGTAGAATAGAAATAGCAAAGTGGCAGCCACAAAAGCGCACTTTATGTGGCAGCTGTTGAATAAACTACAAACATTGAAATGAAGAAAAAAGCTAAAAAGTAGAAGGAGAATGCGAAGAAAGCTAAAACTGGCCGACCGCAACAACAGTGGTGGCTGACGTAGCATCGGTCTGTGTATGTATATGCATGCCACCGGGATGTGGCAACATTGTAAGGCGCATTAGAAGTTTCAGCATGAAGTTAATTTGGACACAGCTCACTTTTTTTCTCGTACTCGTATAGCCGGCTCCGCCGTTCAGGCATGTGGAAGCAGTTGTCGGACGACGGCAGCAGGCCCCAAGCTTTCAGCCAGCATACGGCGCAGTAGGCAGTTGCGGGACGGTGTAGGCGGCGCTTTTCACTTATGTGTGGTTGCTGCTCGACGTTCTGTAAAAGGGAGTCAAGTCAACTCAAGTCGCACCGCCGCCCTTGCCGCCGTTGGGGATTAGGAAGAAGCAATTTTGTTGCGGTGTCATGTTTTTGAGTTTGTTCCTTTATTTTTGCTTAAACTTTCGATGCTTCACAGGCGATTTGTGCCTGCCACGGTAAGATTTGTAAAGATTTCCAATAATATGCTTCGTCATTTGCCGCAAAATAAGTAAAAGTAAATTTTGGATCGGACAGCAGTTGATAAGACAGTACAGAGCAGGAGGGGTCTTTTATTGATTTTTTGTTTTTGTAAGGTAATTCAGTTAAGAAATTTATTTTTTTATTTATTTCTGAAAGTTTAGATTAAATTATTACAAATGTTATTCTTATTATTATTGTTGTTGTTGTTAGTAATATTATTATTATTTTTATACTTGTCGTTTATGCTGTTTCTTGAGTGCACTTGAAAAATCCCTAATATTCGAAAGACATCTTCGAAACTTATTTTTTTCTGACAAAATGCACCAAATTATTTTTCTTAAACTTTTACCTAAAAATCCTTTCATTTAAGTTACTTTATATGCTCAAATCAACTCGAGAACTCATGAGCTCGTTAATGGCAAAACAAATTGCAATTCAGCGCTCTTGCCACCAGCCGACCGACCAAAAGATTTGCTACCGTTTGAGTAGAAAATATGGGCAATCGGAAAAAGATAAAAAGTTTCCCAACAAAAGCGTCTAAAAGGCTTTGAATATATGCACTCAAGTGCCACATACTAAGCCACTCACACAGCTTTGGGCACATGCAAATATCACCACACACACACAAGCACACAATACTGCATGAGTATAACTCACCGCGCAGTGGCAGCCGCTTTGGGCGCACAATGGCAACAAGGACGCTGCTCACTCGGCCGTTGTTCGCCGCTTGGCTTGGCTTGGCGTGGCAGGGAAGTAACCTGTTCACCATAAATCAATCAATCACACAATTAAGAGAGTTCCTCTGACACATTTAGTGTCCAATTTGAATAGTTGAACGTTGGCCCAAGCACTGACCAACAAAGCCAAACAAGCGGCGGCAGAGCGACTATGGCGGCGAGTGTGTGTGTTGACCATGCAACTGGCGGTGGCAGCTCTACCGCTTATTGTCATTGTATGCGCATGTGTAGTTGGTACAAAAATGGCTAAAACAATGCAACAATTGAGTTGACGAGATGTAAACGAGCAGCGGCAAGCAGCCGGCCAAGGAATCCAGTAGCCCAGAAGCCTAACAACCGACCAAATCCAGCAGCGGAAATGTAAGTTTGGCTGACAAAACCTAAAAAACAAGAAGAACAACAGCAAAGTTGATGAAACGACAATAGCGCTGCAATTGCTTTTGTTATTGTTTTCCGACTTTTTGTACGTGCGCTTTGGCTTTTTTAAGGACAAAACGCAATGCGACGAAGCGTTGAACGGCCAATCCATTGTGTCGTCCGCTGATCACTCATTGCTGGCGGTTGGTTTCGTATGTGTTTGTGTGTGTGTGTGTCTGTCCTTCAGCGCACAATATAAGGCAGAAACATGTCAGATCTATTATCAGCACTTTGGCGACTTCTCAACCCTTCTTCTATCTTGGTGCAGCCAACTAGCAACACTGTGACCATATTGAGTTCGTTCTCAGGCGCCTCACCGCCGTTGCAGGCTTAGTTAACTCAAATCGAATTAAGTGATGATTGTGAGCACTGAGATGCGCAAGTTTTTCAAAGATTCAATGTATATTTAGAATCGCTATTTAAAAGTGACGCTATTGGTTCAGGTTCTGTCATCTCATTCCTTTAATGGAAGCCCAGTTCTGAACTTAAAACGTCTCCTGCTGGTATATTTTGCTAATAATTCTTCAATTGCTAATAGATAACCTGACCTTCTGAACTTCTTTTATGAAAAGCATCTAAATACTTTATGATAAGACTAGTAAAGCTACCAGTCCTTACAATGTTGTTAAAAGACCGGAGCTTCACTGTCAGCTTGCGGTTAACTACTGGATGAATCAAATACAACTTGTGCAAGAACTTGAGCCAATTGAGGTTCCCACGTGACTTCATATCGTTCTATGGGCTTCTAAAAAGTTTGCATTTGTTTGCACACATCGCATCTATCAATGGATTTATAGAGAGAAAGCTTCAGTGAGCAAAAAATTTCACATTTAGGGCCGGTTGATTGGCCGTTGGACCTCTTTCTGTGAGAATATGTAAAGTCGGAAGTCTATGCGGACAATGCCGCTTGATTCAGGCCTCGGAGCAAAACATCACGCCGACAATGCCAAAGGATGTTTTTTCAAATGATAATAAACATTAACCATTAAATTTGAAGTTTCTGTCTTCTCTCTTTAAAAAAGTAGGTAGTACTAAGATTCTAAGTTTTTACCGCTTGAAGTGTTTGTAATTGAAGTTATGTAACGAGCAACAGAAATTCGACCAACAGGAAACATGATAAGGAAATATTTTACGGGTTTCTTTTGAGTTCTTCTATGAACTCTAAGAGAAACCCTGTATGTTCTTTTTAACATAACTTTTAGTAATACATATCTCAAAAATTGCAATTATATAATATACTAAATTTCATTGACGTTTTTTTGGCTCTGCCTAGCGAAGGACCTTAATTCTTATTTCTCCATATTTGTCTCTCTTTGCAGTACATTCCTGAGAAAGGTGATTGCCTCAAAGACACAAGGTGTTATCAGGTGAGTCAAAATCCTATTACACTTTATTTACGTAAAATACGTTTGAAGAAACTCGCGCTCTTCATCGCACCAAAAGCTTTCAATATAACCATCATTGGACTTAAAATAGATGTAAGTATATGTATATATAAGTATGTAGGGGCGCTGTGTTTGCAGACATGGCTTTAAATTTCATATTTGTTGCCAGCGTTGTTGCCAGACACGCGTCAGGGATTAATGTCAGTTACATTTTAAAGAAAGAAATTACTTTGTAACACATATTAAAATAAGCCTGATACTCGCATGATATATCAACAGTCAGCAGACCGACGGGCGATGAAGAAATTTGTGGGGAAATTTAAATGGACAGAAATTGAGGCAAATGCGTTGAAATGCCACTCAGCGAAGTCCAAAAATGTTAAAGACACGCTCCGAAGATTGGGTAAAACAAGCGAGAAGCAGATGGTACGCTTGTATGTTTATATAAGCGCATGCAAATGCGTTGTGTGTATTATATGTGCGCTTGAATAGAGTTCTTCAGCGAATAAGAAAGTTCGCAGCAGGCGCGCAGACTCCACTACACTCGGGAATATTAGCGCAACAATCCAATTAATCACGCCAGTGTTGCCAGTTTCAAGACACAAGAGTAAGCTCCACAGCGCAATAATCCTATATGCAGATATAGGAATATAAACATATGTTTGTATGAGAGTGCGGCTTGCGATGTCCCAACTTACCTTTAAAAATCTTATAATAATGACATTAAGCACATTAAATGACAACTGAAACTGGCTGAAAAGCTGCAAGCCGAAAGCTGAAAGCCTAAAAAAGGTGAAGAGACATAAGTAGTTAAAAATACAGAATACGAAAATATTCGCACATGAAAATTAAAATGCTGCACAAAAGAATATGTTGCATGAGGCAGGCACACAAAAAAAGAAATCACCGAACAATTCCACGCACTCGAGCGCTGAAATGTGGCGCAAAGTGGCCGCAAAATACTTGTGTTGAAACTTCACTTGCCAAGCCTCGACAATCGCTTTTAAAATGCGGACGAGCACACACACACACACACATATACGCAGTGAAATATTTGTGTGAACAACGGATGCGTGTGTCGCAGGACCTTCGTCACTCACAATGTTGTCATGTTAATTAGACTGACAGTTTGTACGGATCAATTACAGGCGCTGTCAGCTGAACGCCGGTCCGGGCGCGTTGGCATCCAGCGCACTTGACGGCACCGTACCGACAGCCGTGGAGCACGAACGTGTCGCATTGTGGTTGGCGTCGAAGGTGCACGTACGGACAGTGCCACAACGGCAGCCGCACTGAGGCGTGCTAGTTCCACTCCAGTTCGGTTTTTGTAACGCGTAAATTCTTCGCCGAGAAATGCCCACAGCTATGTTGCATATTTCTTCCAATTTAGCGCTCGAATCACCTGCTGCACGCTGAAGCGAATACGCACCGGGTTGCAGGGCGTTTGGGTACTATGACAAATTATGAAATTAAAACGCCAAAAATGCGCCAATTTTAATTTTTATGCGATTCTTATTTTATAATTCATATTTTACGTTTTTCGTTTGCAACAGTTATGTTACCGACTTGGCCGCTTTCAGACTTCGTATTTGCATATTAATGGTTTCGCCCCTCAACGTCCATCAACAGCTTTTCACAGCATATCTTCACATGCGGAAACAATTTTCTAACAACTTTAATAAAAGAAGTTATTAACCCTTTTTATCAAAAACCAACACGTTAAAAAATTAAATAGTTATTTTTCGCAAATTCAAAATATATAGTATATTAGTTGGCTGGAAGGTCATAAAAATGCCTGCTTTATAGCCATTGGTAGCAATTCATCGTAAGAAAACAAGTTTCCATATGTTAGTACAAATCGGCTTCTATGTCAGTCCGCCTATTTCAATATACACACATATGTATGCAGTCTATTCATGAGAAGCAGCTATATAAATAAAATTCACGACATTTTCTCCTTGATTTTTAATTTTTTGTTGAATAGAGGTCGAAAAAATTTGGAATTAACACCTTTGGTTGACAAAACTGTGGTAGGCTAAGAGCAATTCGTTCATATTTGAGGGCCTCTCTATAATATGAGAGTGTTTCCTTTCATCACCGTTCATCAACTTTCAACTATGCTATAAAAAAGATCACAATTTATTAATTTACAATTTATAATTTCTTTTTGTTTGCTGTAATTACCTTAACCAACACTCAATCATTCTTAGATTTACCGAAAATTAAATTTTTTCGCTTTCCCCATATATTGCTTGTCTAAAAAGTCATACGGTATTTTCGCTAGTTGGCGCTGAGAGCGCGTAGTTCTAGTTTTATTCGTCGCTTCGGGTCATGTTATACCTTTTTGGAAAGCTCATTTGACGCGCTAACACGTGTTTGATTCATTGTCGTTTCTTTTAAGTCGTTCGTGAGTTATAGCGTCGCAAACATGGAGCAAAATAAAGAGAAAATACGGCATATTTTACAGCACTACTGCGATAAAGGAAAAAGTGCATTACAAGCCGCCAACAAAATTTGTGCAGTTTACGGACACAATACAGTTTCCATTTCCACCGCACAACGATGGTTTCAACGTTTTCGTTCTGGTGTAGAGGTGGTCGAAGATGCGCCACGCTCCGGCAGGTATGTGGTCGAAAATTGCAATAAAATAGCTGAATTGGTCGAAAGAGACCGGCATAGTAGCAGCCGTAGCATCGGTCAAGAGCTGGGCATGAGTCATCAAAACAAAATTTATGAACAATTGAAAATTCAATCAAAATACCACAAGTTTTTGACAACCTATTATTATGTTGAGCATAATACCTTTACTGAAGTTTATCTTGCCGCATTATTAGGGGTTCTTACTAGACATTGTCTAATAGGCACTCATTCGGCAGGGCGGAGAGTAAATTGAAAAAATCCGGGCACTTTCTCCTCAAAGTATTTGTAAGGCTGATGATCAAACACGTCGGCAGTCTTACCTTTGATGAACCAGCAGCCATAGCGGAAACTTTCATTAAGGGTCTCAATCGATTTATGATAGGCTCAAAGCGCTTTACCGAAAGGGTCTTATTATTTATTATATATGAGTTTTAAGTAATACAATGGATTGGCATACAAAGCAGTTCAAGAGAGATACTTGTTAGGATCAACCTGTTAACCTATGATGATAGACTTAAGCTTTTCCTTTCGGCAAGAGTGTGCCCACTTTCTTTACTAAAGCTGACTAGGTAAACGACTGTATATACAGAGTTTGTCCGAAAAGTAATTGGACTGATTTTCTTCCGCCGCGACTGAATTCGGTAGAGGATATTTCTAGCTAACGAGCAACTGGTCAGTTGCCTCCGAGCACCTGGAGAGTCAAGACAAACACTTTCGCGTGACGTGTTTCTTTGAGTGGTGCAAGCCGCGCGATACGCGATTAAATTCTGTGTAAAACTGGGTAAATCAGCGACAGAGACATTTGATGTGATCAGAGAGGCTCACTCAGATAATGCTTTAGCAAAAAGTGGTGTACTTCGATAGCACCAGACCTTTTTGGAGGGCCGGGAATAGGTCGCTAATGAAACCGTGCTGGGAGACCTGCTACTTTGACAAACACCGACAATATGACTCGTGTGCGCAAAGTTTTGAACTCAGACCGTCGACTAAGTATTCGTTTATTTAGCCAGATGTTTATCAAAATCTGTGGTTCATGTCATTGTGACGCAGTGCGCTTGAACATGCGCAAGGTGTGAGCGAAAATAGTCTCAAAAGCGCTCACTCACGACCAGAAATTGCAGTAAGTGGAAATGTGTCAAGAAAATTTGAACATTTGTGAAAAGTGATCCCAAACTTTTGAACAACGTAATCACGGGGTGACGAGTCATGTATTATTGTGTATGATCCCGATGAAAGGCAAACATTTTGGGACGACAGAGGGGATCCAAGCAGCATGCAGCTTCCGTCACGCTTTTAATGCTTGGAAATCGCGCTGGCAGCGCTTCATCGACGCAGAAGGAACCTATTTTGAAAGTTTTGAAGGAATCCCAACGATTGGTTCAATAATTGCTTAAATCGACTTCGTACAATTACTTTCCGGACAAACCTTGTAAGAAAGATTCTAAATATCAGCTGATGTAGTTAAAGTTCTAGAACTTCAGAAAACAGCTTGTGTGTATCTTCCACTTAAAACACTAACTAGTTTTAGTCAAAGCTTTGTAATCGCTCTCACAACATAGATTTATGTAAGCATTATCAATAAAGGAAAAAAGTTCTGCCTTTCACTTATAATTACTATACAGTTTCATTGGCCGCAAATGAAAAGGTTTTTACACTTTTGGTTCTTCGTATGTTCGTGTAGACCTTTTCATTAAAAGCCGCGCGACGAACCGAATGTGCCACAAACAGTGTTCAACAAACGTTCATCCGCACGACAAATGTGTCTATATTTGAACACACTTTGACGACTTTTTGCACATTGCACACTGTAAAACTAACACCAAGGGACAAAGCTTTGAAAAAGTTGATATTTTTTCGATTTTCATTCACACTTTACTTTGCGCAGAACTTTGAAAGTGGGTTACGAAAAAAGGGAAACTCCGGCATTTCTGGCCCAACACAACAGCAGCGGCTGTTTGCATGTCCTTTTCTCTGCAGCAGATTTTTTCAAATACTCCTATTATAGCGTCCAAGGTTTTAGAAAATCAATTTTTTGGTTTTTGTTTTTGTTTTTGTTTTTTAACAGTCAAGTGCGCAATGTTTGCTTCAAAGCTTGCCAAACTTTGATAAATGACAGGCGTGCGTGGCTAAAGTGTGAGCGACTGTGCGTTGCAAGCATATAGACGCAGTTCTACACTCTCCTATATATATTCGTACATATATATATACAATTATACATATGTGTACATATATATGTTTATAGCGATGTGTGAGTGAAAACTTTTTGAATGCAACTTTAATTGATTCGTTGTGCGTTTCAGACATGCCACAAGCAATCTGATGGCGGCGTAAGGGTAAATAGA